CCTACCTGTAAGTGAGTGCTAATAACTCATAATGAAAATCTATGAATTGATATGTAAAGTTAACCTCAAAAGTCATTTAAAAAAAAAAGTCATTTCAAAATTATACAATAAAAAAGGAAGGAAGAAACTGAACTTTGGATACACAGATCTCATGATTCAAATCCTTTGCTCTTGCGCAGCCTACCATACCCATGAGCCTCAGGACTCAGTAAAAAATACAAACTTTCAACCTATGCTTCGAAATGAGAGATGACGGACAGAACCAATGCTGCGGATAAGCCTGGAGAGTAAGAACACTGGAGGCTGAGTGGGCAGTGCCCCCAGGGTGCCAACGGGGCCTGGCCACCACAGGAACTGCTGCTGGACAGCTCACTGTGGCCCAGCCACAGAGGGCTCCTGAGTGTCCACTGTGCGAACAACCCCGGAGTGCAACAGCCACGGAGCCACAGAATTCTACATTCATTCAAGAGTCTCAGGATACTTAGAAGAGTGAAGAATGTCCTGAAATCTCCACTTTGCAAATTGCATTTCCTTCTTCCAGCATTAATAAAGACGACTGCCCCTGCCTTGTGCACGATGCATCCAAGCACCAATAAAGAGCCACACAGAGGTTTTGTCCTTGATGGAACCTACAGTGTAGTCAGCAGCAGGTATTTAAAGCGGGCAGGGGGGAGAAGTGTTTTTCTAAAATACTAATTTAAAGAACAAATCAACATCTATTATCTCATTCATTATGTTTTAAATTGTGTGACTATAAATCACCCCGCTGCAGGTTATTCAAGGGCAGAATTACCCAGCTTGGCGTTCCCGAAGGTTACAAGAATGACATCTTGTGCTTTTTCTAGTTATAATTTATAACTGTGCAACAGAACTAGCAATGCAGGTCCATCCATTAGCCGGGTAGCTGCACATCTGTTAAAGCTCAGCACAATGACTGGCTTTACATCCACCGGAAGCGAAACCCAATCGTGTCAGAAGTTCTACAAACTCCAGCCTTCTTTTTATATGTAAAATGATTTGAAAATGCAGTTCCTTAAAACATCTGCTAAGCTCTTGCTACCCGAACACATGATATGCTTTCTCCTGTTACCTGCCAACACAAATATTTGGTTGCACAAAACACCCTAAGAGGCACGTGACGGTGCTCAGCTTCAAATTTACATGCCGATCCACACAGCGCTGGCCTGGACCAACGGCCTCTGGCAAAAACGTTGTTTACCAGAACTCAAAGTTTATGTGGAAAAAGATGCGGGTGGATTTCATGAAGGTGCTGTCAGACACACGAAGGAAGCTTAGCTGCACAATTAGATGCATATGGTGGGGCACTGTGGCACATTCGACACAGCAAACGGACCTGGGAGTAATTGCAAAGGTTTTGAAAGCTGGAATTCAATGTTCTTGAACAAGCTGGGTAAACTCTGCGCTTTCCAACTGAAAAAGTAATAAAAGTAATCTGGTACGGCAGAACTATTAGGAAGAGTAAATGGGAACACAGACTCTGATATATAAAACACTGCGACATCTGGCCTGAACTGTTGAGTTGCATCAAACATGGGAGTATGGAGGATTCCAAAACCACCATGCATGCAACACCTGAGGCAGTCAGAATCCTCCCCATGCCCCCAGCCTGTCTCTTAGGTCACCAGCTCACACAATGCATCAGGTTAGAGAAACTAATACACATTAACACACACTGAAGATAATTTTTGAGTATTTTAATTGCATAAAAGATGCCGGAGATACAAGAAAGGAAACAACGCACATACGCAGCGACTGGATTAGAGAATGCTGCCCCAAAACCTAAATTTCCGTTAAGGTATTTCAGAGGCAGCTGCTTTTGAAGAAGCCTGCATCTTTTTTGGAAACATATTTTAAAATAACCCTATTTCCATTTTTATCCATTATTTCTATTTTATTATATATTATGGGGAGAGGGAATAAATATTTCTTCTCGCAAAATCCCCAGTTCATCTTTCTTAGCCTCTGGATCCCTTGAAGAGGGTGACAGAGACACAGCTTGATCAGAAGGGGTCGCTGTGCTAAGAATTAATCCCTATGAGTTTCTCATTAGTGATTATTATACTGCAGGCGGCCAAAATGGAAAAATTAATTAATTTCAAAGTGATAATGCATTTACAGCAACAATTAGATATGTATAACTGTAAAAGGGCAACATTTAAAAGACAGATTACATTTAATAAAGTTGCACAAGAACATCCAATTGTAAAATTACTGATCTGCAACAATATTCCTTAAAGAGGCACTTAAAATAGCCTGACTCCATGAAGGGTGACCTAATTACTGTAACTAAAATCATCGTCGTCACAGCAAGTCACAGCAAATAAAGAAGGGACGTTGATATTAGAATACTGCTGTTTAATGCTTAAGGGAGCCGGCTGCAGTGGAGAAGGGAAGACGGGGCTCCCGAGCCAGGTGGGGCGGGGCTGCTTTCCTTGACCTCACTGGACGGAAAGTGAACTCGAACAGCACTTTCTCCAAGGTGAAGTGTAGGTGGAGCTTTGGTACAGCACTTAATAAGCATGAAAGAGCCGTCAGGTAACGGGGCCTGACATCCCTGCTGAGCTTCTTTGTGCTCATGGAGGAATCCAGCCTGACATGGGGTAGGAATGGACACACAGGAGTGTGGTGTATGTCCAAACTACAGCTTGTATGCACATGGCTGAAGTGTAACTGTCACCCAACAACTGCCTTCCACAAGTGAAGCAGTGGCAGGCCACCTACAGAGGACAGTGCTTGAGGGTGACCTGTGTAAGCAGCCCAGTTTTCCCTCCAGTGAAAGGGACCCCGCCCAGACCTACACTCCCGCTCTCCCTCTCTAGAAGCACAGAGCCCCAGGTGCATAGGACCGAGGAGTGACTGGCTGTGAGCTTGCCGAGTGAGGCGAAAGCATCCGTCTCACCTCTTCATATGCTGAGTAATATGGACCCCAATGACTGAACATTGACAGCAAGAACCTAAATGTATAAATAGATTAGTGAGGATTTTAACAAAAATCTAAACTCAGATACATATTCCACAATCCACCTAATGCTTTTGCTTATCTTTTAAAAAATGTGAAATACAAAAGGTGCAATAGTATCAATGATGTAGGAACAGAGACCAGACGTGCAGTTGGATGCCATCAGAGCAGGGCTTCCTACCGAGATACATTCTGACCCTGTCAGTAACCTTCTCCTCGGGCCTTTGAGATCAGAGATAGACTCATCTTACTCCCCCAACACCCTCTTTAGAACCTCAATTTATGGACTCCTTTAAGCCTCACAGTGATTGCTGTATCCATCAGCAATAACCACACTTTGGAAAAGCCTGTTGTGAACCAATACACAAGGACAACAGTCATGCTGCACACCTACTACACAGTAGGCTCTGTGGGAGATGCGTGCTGCAACTGGGACCTCCACTATAGCAGCTCCTAGGTCCATGTGGCTAAGTTAAAACTAGCTGAAAAGAAAGCCAGATGAAAAGCTCAGTTCCCCAATTGTATGGCCAGTTTTCACAACTTTAATAGCCACATGGGGCCACAGGGCCCCAGACAAGTTACCGGGTTGCAATTACGGCAGAAACTGCATGTCCATTATGATACATATTTTATTCATCACTGTCAATCATTATAACATCACTGTGTCACCAACACTCTGGTTGGAAGAAGCGTAACTCCAAAACCCAAAGTGCCTTGCCAAGGCTGAGACCCCCATTTCTAACAGACATGATTATTATCAAACAACACACTGTGCAGAGTGATCTGCTCCTAGCCAGTTATGAGAATGACGTATGGAGAAACCCCCGAGCCCTGGGATCCTGGAAGTGAGCTCTGCTCATCTATTTTGAGCTACCAACTCTCCCCCGAGGTGGAGAGCACGTGCCGTATCTCCTCACTCCCCCTTTCTGGGTCTGAAGTATTCCATTCTGGAACACGTTTACTATGCAGAAGTACTAGGTAGGTGATTAGAGTAAAAGATGTGTTGCCTCAATTCCTTCACAGAAGTTCAAAAGCTTTATGTTTTTGTTTCAAAAGCTACCTTCAAACAGGAAGGATGGAGACAACAAGAGGAGTAAGAGAAGGGGAGAAAGCAGACGCTACTCCAAGGCCTTTAGAGCAGTTGAGTGGGGGGGGGGGTCTGGCTTGTGATACTCCTAAAAGCCAAATTGCTTTGGGGAAAGGTTAATTTCTGATGTGTAGACATTGTGTTTCAGTAACTAAGACACAAGTGTCCATGAAGAGGCCAACATTTTTAAAAATCTATGGCTCTGGAAAGTAAGCCACTAAATAGATGGTGTAAAACATACATTCTGCTTTCAAATTACTTTCTAAAAAAATACTTTTATGAAAAAGTTTGTAGATACCAGTGATAAACAACCACAAAAAAAAAAAAGTAAACTCTGCCACTTCACCTCTGTGAGCACTTCTAAATCTAACCCCCACAGAGAAATTCATCCAAAAGGACTCCTTTTGGGGGAACATAAAGTCCACTGCGACCACAAAGTCTCCTCCAGAAGACGTTACGACAAATTCTCCAGTAAAAGAAGAATCAAAACATCTGCTACAGATTCTCTGTGAACACACACACACACACACACACACACACACACACACACCTGCTAATGATTCAAGCACAAACCTGTGTTTCACATCTATTCACACAGAGTTCCCAAGTGGTACGGGCACAAGGATAGATTTTAAACTTTTCTCAATCAAAACAGAAATCACATCAAAGGGAAACAAATCATCACTTCCATCAAGACCTTCAGCCGTACTTCACATGATCTAAAAAAGCCACATCTCCTCTCCAGCCCTCTGAGACTTCTTCAGAAGCTCCTGCAAGCATACTCAAAAGCCTTTCTCCAAGGCTTGCACAGGCCTGGTGACGTGGTCAAGGAGACCAGACTCCTAGAGATGAGCCATGCATGTCTTGAGGTTCCCAGGGCCCTCCAGAGAGGGGCATTGAGGGTGTGCATGACGCTAGAAGCCATCCACTTACCATGGATTTGGTGAAGGGTCTCGCCAAGGTAAACAGCAGCGTCCACAGCCACCAGCCTCGGTGAATGGAGGAATACATCATGTTCCCTGGATGCACGGCATTGGCTGTGACCCCGCGTGGGGAGAGGCGGCGGTGCAGCTCATTGGAGAATAGGATGTTGCAAAGCTTGGACCTGTTGTAGGCCAGCATGGCCCAGTAATCATTTTGTGAAGGAGACAGGCGGCTAAAGTCAAGGTTTCCCGAAGTATCATTTATATCTGTAAATCTGAAAAGCAAGACACAGGACCTGAAGCAATCAAGCTCTGACTTCTCATGAGGTTTTCTAATTTTATCACAAATCTGAAGAAGCTATGCAGTGGATGCTGAAAACTCAACCCTGTGTATAGCAATACCACGCCTTTAAGAATAGACAACGGTGACTTAACCATGCCAAGGGACTGGATCCAAAGATGGGCCTAGCCTAAGCCCACACTCACACTACTGTCTCTAACAAACATATTGAGCTCCCTCATACCCCTTAGCTACATTTTTCAAAACCCTCAACAGAAGTTCAAGGAGAAGTAAATTAAATGAGAACATATCTTAAATAAAGGGCTGCTGCTTTTGGAAAGACTGATATCATGTTGCTAATCCTTAACAGGGCTTTCCTGGGTTATTTTAGCTGATGCTTGAGTCCTGTATATTTTCATTCGAGCACACAAGTAAGTACAGATGAGTTGTGATGCTTCCACCACTCTTTTCCAGATTAAAAATTAATGATTATAAAGGGGTTATGACCTTGGTGAGGTGCCATCAATAGTCTTCTGCATTTAAAAGATAAATGTAAACAAGCCCAAACGCATGCTGGCAGAGCGGAATGTTTTTAAGTGTACCCATGGCATGGAGACACACAAATCAAAGTAACTAGTTGATGCTTTATAATTGGGTCTGACGGAGTCGTTAAACACCAGCTGTTTGTTTCCTTTCTTTTCTTTCTTCCTTTCTTTAAAAAATAAAATAACAACAAAGTAGGCATGATCTTAAGAAAATATCTGGATCATAACAAACAAAACAGGAATTCTCTAAATGGTCTGATCTTTGTTTAAGGACATCTCCTATTTTGCTTCATTAAATTAATTCTGGACACTGGGTGATAAGAAAGCATAATGAGGCTATTCCAGAAAAATGCTGGGGAAAACAAAAGCAAATGGTGAGATGAGACTTACGGAACAACCTTCTGGTTCCTTTAGAGAAGCAGTTCAGGAGGACTCAAACCCAAGTATCACAGGTGCAGAAAAAATTCATGCTTCCATGGAAATTAAAGAATTAAATGTCCCTTCTCCAGGATACAGCTAGTGACATCCAATGTCCAGTGTTAAGTGACATTTCTGCAGCCCTGAAGTCACCAGTGAAGCCGATGGCCAGGGTTGTCATCAAGGACACAGCAATGAGACCCTGACACTAATTGCAGCCTGCCTGTGGCCATTCCCCAAATCACCAATAGGGCCTACACTTCCGAGCTTAACTGTCTAAGGCTACAGTAGAACTCAGGGAGAATTTTGAAAATTTATGGGGCCCTTCCAGTGCTAGAAATAGTGATTGCAGGTGGGAGCCATGACGACTGGTGCCCTGCAATACCTGCGGAGTCTGGGTCCTGGAGGACCATCCCACCGGGCAACTGCACATATAGGAAGCCTGGATTATCTGAGCCTGCAGCCTAAATGTGTTTCACACAGGTGCCATCCTACTGTTCACTGGATGTACAGAACTCCGATGCATCTGCAACCTCTCTGAATGGAGAAGTGAATGCACTCTCAGCACTGTGGGATTTCTGGAGGCTGCAGCCGCACTCGCTGCCCATGGCCCTGGAGCCGGCAGTGCCCCCCCACACCTGTTGATGGCCACACGTGTGAGCATGCCACAGAGATGGCCTACTCATACACATGCATCCGATCACCTTCCCTGCAGTCCCGCCCGAGCACCTCCGTGTGGAGAGAATGTTTCCTTCCTTTTACATTTTCGCCTTCTTTGCAATACAGTTGTAGTATCATATTAAAGAGATGTCTGTACCAGGCATTTATATTATTTCTCAGCCTTACTTCAACAGAGTAATAAGGTGCTACAGAACGGCTATCAAAGATGGGGCTATCGGAAACCTTCCCTCCTCCGGTGGAAAAGAACACCCAGGGTTTAGACAACATCTAAAAGACATGGGATAACTATAACACCCTTTGCTTCCACCCTGCATCTTTCCTTCGTTCACTACTGATGGAAGCCCCTTCTGCCACAGCCCTGAAGGTTAACCCAGCTCAGGAAATGTGTCTCCCAGGAAGAATGTCACAGTGATTTTGGTGGCGATGGTGGTAATGAATAGATTTGAAAGAAGCTATGCAAAGCAAATGTACACACGCATGTCCATGAAAATCAAGCATCCACTGTCCAGATCCACTGTGTTATTTCCTTCCTAGAGTTGGATAAAAATACCAGCCCTCCAAGGACAAGCTGGAATTCAAAACTAAAGGGAAGTTTCCTTTATTACAAAGCCTGGCTTTAAGACTTAAAAGGCAAAATTTACCACCAGGTTCAAATTCTCCCAAGTTCTACAAAAACATTTGCATGCTACATCTTCTGATGTCTAGAATAAGTCCCTTGCTTTTGCTTTTAAGGTGGATACAAAAGTGTCACATGACTGGAGAACACAGGTAGTGCCATGCAGAGCCTACTGGAGGGCTGGAAGAGCTCTTGCAGACAGTCCTCCAGGGGCACTCAGGTCAGGCACACTGCGGTCACCCTGAACTAAGCAGGTCTTCCAGAAGAGGGACTAGATCACCTCTCTGCTCAAGAGGCAATAAACAACTCTTCAAAGGCTCCCTGCTGTATTTTCAAGTGGAGAAAATGACAAAACCAAACAATAAGTTCTTAAAAGAATCATGTGCTGTCCATACACTCAAATATCATTTTTCCTCTTCGGTTAGTAGCATCTGTCTTGTGAAAGTCCGCCTATCGTACATCTCCATACACTTTAGTTTTCATTCTCTTTTGAACTGAGGAAGTCCTAAATACCCAAACTAAAATAATTAGGATGGATTCTATATAGACAGAAGCTAGTACACTTAAAGGACAGGATTAAATTTGCACAGGAAATTTCATGTGTGTGTATGAGCGTGCATGTGTGATTACATGTGTAATTGTGGGGGGTGCAATTGGGCATTCAACACAGCAGTCACCATTCCTAGCTGTTCAACTTGTGCTCTGCTCTTTTTCTTCTATTTAATTGTTACTTGAAAATTTCTCATAGCCAGGAAGTCAAATTCTCATTTCAAAATGATACATTTTAGATAGGCAGAAATTCAATTCACTTGCTTAGACTTTAGATAAGTAACTAAAACACAGAGAAGACACAGGGAGCCTAATAAATATTTTGCCTAGGGGCAGTCTAGCATAATATTTTCTGCAAACATAGGACTTTATTTTTCCCCTAACAGGGGGTCTTGACTCCAACAAAGAGATTCCACCAAGGTTTATGGAGGTAATTAGATATCAACACTTGCATTTTACAACTTGGTTTAGGACTCTGGGTCCTTGAGCTGTGAGCTGCCCCAGTATACAGCTCACTCTCAGGGGCCAAAACATACAGCAAGTGTCATAAACAAGGCAGCTTGAGGGAATTAGCATTTTGTAGAAACAGCCCTTAATAACACGCGAAAGATAACTGGAAAGCGGAAAGCCAGAGCCAGCCCTCAGACGGAAGTGGGCCTGACCACACGCTTCAGGAAGGTTGTGGCTATAAACTAAAATGGATCTAATTCAGGAGGCCAAGACGCTACCTTCCAAATTCAACTTTTAAACAAAATTAAGATTCCAATCTCCAAGGTAGGCATGAATTACACGGTAGTCAAGGAGAGAACAAAGACGTCACATGAAACAGCACTGGAGGTACAGATTTACAAAGGGAAGCGAGCAGCTGACAATTCGACATAATCCCCCATTAAATACCAGCTCATTTAAACATATCCCGTGGTGCCCTCCACATCTGGCGAGCGATTGGGCCTGGCAGATTTATTTCTAGAGCTCTCTCTCCTGCCTGCCCCCATGGCAGCCTCCCTAGCTCCTTAACAGGCCACTCCACCTTCTTTCACAAACCTGGTGTGATTTGCGAAGATAAGGCTGTCCAGATTTTGTTAGCACCTAATTACGAGATGATTCATGTCTTTTCACGTGGGGGAGGATTATTACCGGCATTTTCCTTTCACTTCAGCCATCATAAATTTAAAATGGTAAAAGTAAATCTATCTGTAGTGTGTCACTTATACCGTAAGCCCCTGTGTTTGGGAGCGATAAAGGGTTCAAGCTAACCCTCGGCTGGTCTCTCTCTTCCAAGTGGAAGGGGTTACATTTTATAGAAATATGATGAAAAAAAATAAGCTTCATTCTGGGTCACTAAAACATTTCAGGACTTAAGACGGAGAAGAAGGGGGGAAAATAGGCCTGTGCACAGTATGTTATTTCCAGCTACTCGCTACAGAGAGAAAGCTTCTCCTAGGCCCATACCCAGGAAATGGGAAAAAGAAAAGAAAAATCTCCCAAACAAGTATTAAAACCAGTCTCACCCACCCGGCAAGTCCTTTGTCTTTTCTGGGTGTTTCTCCTTAGACAAATAGTTGTTTATCCAACTCTAGAAACAAATATGCTGAAAATACGATGAAATTTTCAAATGACTTTTTAGTCAATTGAATATTCTCCTAATGGTAATACAAGAGAAGTGCCATCTGATGTTTTAATTGAAATTTTAACCAAAAGAGGCATGGCCAGATTTCTAATATGTTCTAACTACAGTACTTCCCTTTCCACAATTACACAGCTAATGCCTGCATTGAATTCCCTAATTTCTCATTATAAAACAATTGGATTTCATCTCGCAGTCTTTAATTGCATTGTTTCTCCTGCTAGAATAACTGCACATTCTTTTTGGTAAGATGTTGAAGTTGTTGAATTACAAATCAATAAAGGTCATGCCATTCAGATTTAATCAATTATTATTCCATCTCTAAGCAAAATCAATGAGGAGCTTGAAGTATAGTTGTAGAAACAATGCACATTGCTAGAGACAGTTTCCCCAAACAATCGCCCACAGTCACACAGGCAAAAGACCAAGAAAAATGAAGGAAGCAGGTTGCACACACTCGGGCTTCTCAGAGTACTGTATGCCTACTCTGCGTAAGTTTTTGCAGCCACAGGGCTCTGGGCAGTGGGAGACGATGCATCGGTGAAACTGTTAAGTTCCAACCCACCTATGTGACTCAGAGGAGACCAGGATGACACGGGCAGGGGCCGAGCAGCACAGAACATCCTGCAGGAGTTGGACCAGGTAGAAGTGGCCCAGGTGGTTCACCTGGAAGGTGGTCTCCAGGCCGTCTTTCGTGAGGCTCCAGGGAAGGCCAAAAACAGCGGCGTTGCACACAAGCACGTGAAGAGGCCTGGGGAGGAAAACAGCCCTTGTCAAGTGGAGAGGAAAACTTTCCCAACCAAGAATGGTCAGCGTTCAGCATTCCCCAAGGAATCATCACTTCTTTCCAGGCACTGTTGTGCTGGAAAGGTGATCCCAAGATGTGGGTGCAGATCTCGGGGAGGCAGCTGTCCTGTGATGCTGGCGATGAGGGCTTCCCAGGACAGGGGACTTTTTGGTGCAGAAGTGAGGACTGCACAAGGCAAACAGGGAGAAGGCCACCCTCACTGGAGGTGGGGTTCTGCATTTGCTGAACGATGTGCATCCAGATTAATTCAGGTCTCACCTTATGTATCCTTAATCAAAACAGCCTTTTAAATAGGCAAGAAAGTAAGAAAAAATATGCTACAAATAAAGGTGACACAGGGCCAGGGCTTAGCAGGTGCTAAGTAGACAGGCAGGGAGAGAGTTCTGTCTGAATACAAACTCACTGAATATATTCTTTTTAGGGATCAAATTAAATCCACATGTTAAAATTAAACCTGGATATGCGTAAGTACCGATATATATAAAATTTTTCTTTTACATCTGCTTAACTGTTTTACAATACAATTTTATTATGCTTTCCAGTGAGGTGAAATCCTAGGTCCTCGTGTAAAAACTGTGCTTAAGCAAATCATCCTGATACACAAATAAGAAACTATACAATTAAATATTTTCAAGGCTATTCATAGTATTTATAATTACAACATAAAAGTAACAAATCAAAAATGAACATAACAATAGAGAAGTCATTAAAGGAAGTAGAACAGACCCATGATATAATATTATGAAGTCATTAAAATTGTAACAAATCTTTTTTGTTTTACAAAACATTATAAAGCAAATATGCAATACAGGAGAATCATATACAGTCACGGAGGAAAGAGACAAAAGAATACTAATGAGGATGTACAAAAATGTTAAAAGGCTTCAGAGGTTGGTGGAATGCAAAGTGTCTTCAATTATCTTCTTTAAGAACTTACCTGTATTTTCCTTATTTTTGCTCAATTAACAAGCACTGTAATAAGGCAATGCTTTTTTGTAAGAAGGCAAACATACAAATACAGAAGAAAAGCAAAAGAGGAGGAGCAAGAGGAAGAGGAGGAAGTATTTCAGGGAGATACCTAAAATATTTAACAACAGTGAAAAGTACAAGCTTGTCCTTTGCAGGAGACTGAAGTAAGAATTGGAAGAGCTACATCTCTGCTTAGTCGCAGACACTCATCCAAAACTTCTGAGCTTCTGATTTTTGTCTATAAAATGAGGGGCGGAACTGACAGCACTCAGTTTCTTGCCTGACTCTCATGATAGTGGCTTTGCAGGTGACATCTCCTCTATGATTTGAGGAAACAACCATTTCTAAATTTTCATTTGAAAAAATTCAGTGTTCTTTACACAGAAACTTTTCAAGGCTTATTACTACTTAAAACAGAAATGAGTTGACTTTGTCTCTTCCCTCATGAAATAGAGTAGTTTCTTTTTTTTTTCTGAGAAAAGCAAATGAACACTAGTATTCAATAAACCAGATTACAAAGAAAAATTCATATAAAATTTTTACAATCTGTTATAATCTGTAAAAAGCAAAAAGAAATTGGCAAATATATACAATAATTTAAATGTCTCACGTTTTTCTTACTTATTTCAAATGAATAAAAAACACATCCTAAACACAAGTTTACATACATATTTTTAAATTCTGTAAAAGTAGATTGCAAATAAATAGTCAAAGATTTAATATAGAAAAAGCAAAAATTCAAGTTAACTGGGAAACTTACGCATTTTGTTAGTTTTTATTATCATTTTTTAAAGTTGTCAGGAATATATATTTCTGCACACTGGACAGCAAGTTGGAATATCTACCTCGAGAATGAAAATGATTTGCATTATTTTACCCAGTAATCCTGCTTCCATCATGGAGAACACGGCAACAGGGAAAGGGGTCACCGACCCCAGGAAGGAGGGGGTTGTGTCATTAAGATCAGACCTGTCAGTGCAGGACAATAACAAAAAGCAGGACAACTTTTAGGCAGTTTCGTATCACTGTTTTTAAATCCCCCACATATAGGAAAGCCCCATTTTAACTGCACGGGATACAGGACTCCCACAATCACCCCTCTCCCTGATGCTACTGCTCCTGTAGGAAGTTGGAAGGTGGATTCTAAAAGATAAATCCACTCTTTAAACTTGTGCATGTGACTTTATTTGAGAAAAGTGTTTGTAAATCTAATGAAATTCAGATTTGTGAGAGGAAATCACCCTAGATTAAGGCAGACCCTAAATCCAATGACAACTATCATTTCAAAAGCAAAGGAGAGGGCTGGCCAAATAGCTCATGGGATCTATTCAATCCCTGGGCCTGCCTTACTGGCCCCTCCTCCAGGGCACTCTGAGACAACAATTGAGACTAGGCGTGGTGGCACGTCTGTAATCCCAGCTCTTGAGAGGCTGTAAATAGGTGGATCACTATGAGTCTAATCTATGTAGTGAGACCCTGAACTCCTTGTAGATCCTTCCCTTAAAAAATACAAAAAAAAAAAAAATCAGTACTTCATTCATTTTTATGAACAAAAAATATTCCTCTGTATGGATAGATCATGTTTTATGTATCTATTCATCAACTAGTGAACATTTGCTTCGTTTCTATCTTGTGGTTATTGTGAATATTTCTGCTATGGACATTCATTTACAAGTTACTGTAAATGAGTTACTTCTTCTGAGTACATACTTACAAGCAGAACTGCCAGCTTACATGGTAGCGCTCTATCTTTGACTTTTTCAGCAAGGGCCAAACTGTTTTCCAAAGTGGGCAGTGCCTAACTTTACATTCCCATCAGAAGTGTATTATGGCTCAAACTTCTCCAAGTCCTCAAAATACCTGTGTCTTTTTCACTTTAGCAATAGTAGAGAGCATGAAATGGTATCTCACTGTGGCTAGACTTGTATACCCCTAATGGCTAATGATGCTAAGCACCCTCTTACACGCTCCTTGGCCATCAGTATTCCTTCTTTGGCAAAAAGTATATTCAGACCCTCTGTGTGCCAGTTAACCTTGATTGCCAACTTGACTGGATTGAGGCTCCTGGAGAAGAAATGGGACCATGGGGAGGGAGTGGATTAATTAGTGCCTTAATCCCTTGCACATGGTGTTAGGCCCTGGGTCACTGGGGTGGGCCTGTGAAGGGATCTCTCTCCCTGGTGTTGCCCCATGCCCTGCTTCCAGGCCACGAGACACGCAGCTTGGCTCCATTACATACCCTGGCCATGACATTTGTCTGCCAAACCTGGACAGAAGCCTCCGAAAATGACTCAAATTAAACTTCTGGGCCCAGAAAGATAGCTCAGAGGACTAAAGTGCCTGCTTAGCCAAGCTTAGTCAGACATAGGGATGGCAGTTCAATCCCCAGCACCACATGCCATGCCAGCCCTACCCCCAGGATGGGTTGAGCCAGCCAAAAATCCATAAATCAATCAATCAATCAATAAATAAAATTAAACTTCTCCTCCTTTAAATGATAAATAGTTGGGTATTTGGTCCCAGCAACAGGAAAATAACTAGTATGCTGTACAGAATTTTTGACCATCATGATATAAAAGTTTTGAAATATAAAAGTTTTTAAAAATATATTATAGATATAAAATTATTTTTAATTTTTTGAATTATTTATTTGGTACAGGGTCTCACCATGCAGCTTGGACTCACAGTGATGCTCCCATCTCACCACCCCAGCACTGTGATTGCAGGCATGCATGACCATGCCCAGTTCTGGTGGCCTGTTCCCCGCAGGGTCGGCACGGCATGCGGTACTGGGCATAGAACACTGGTCCTTGCACGTGCCATGCAGGGGCTTGACCAGAGCTATCTCTTTGGCCCCACCTTTATATTTTCTTGGTGGAATCAACTGTATGACAAAAGCTTTTAATTCTAGTAAATAATTTATGTTCTCTCCTTCTTTTGTCACTTGTGCTTTTGGGGTTGTATCTATAAAGTCACTGTCTATCTCAAAATCACAAAGATAAATTTCTATGTTTTTTCTAAGAGTTTTACAGTTTTAGTCTTACATCTACTTCCATGACCCATCTATAACTATACACAGAGTGTAACTGACTTCTTTCACTTTCTTTCTTTATTTTTTTTTTTTTTTTTTTTTTTTTTTGGTATATGGTCTCACTATGCAGTTAAGACTCATAGTGATCCTACTATTTTCAGCCTCCCCAGCAGCTAGGATTACATGCATGTGCCACCACACCCGGACTCCAAGCCCTGGTGTTGAAGCCAGTGTGGCATGTGGTACCAGGGATCGAACCCCAGTCCCTGAGCTTGCCTAAGCAGGTGCTTAGTCTGCTGAGCTATCTCGCTGGCCCTAATATAACCGACTTGTTTTGCATGAGGAATATCTATTTATTCAAATATCATGTGATGAAAAGTTTATCCTGCCCCAAACTGAGTTATTTTGGCAACCTTGTTGAAGAGTCAGTTGATCATATAAGGGTATAGTTTTGTACTCTCAATGCTATTCTATTATCTATATGTCCATACCTAAGACAGTACAAGAGGGCTGGGGAGACTGCTCAGCAGCACAAGCGCCTGCCTGGCAAGCGCAAGCTCCCAAGTTTGATCCCTAGTCCAAGAATTTTTGTTATGGACAGATGAGAAGTCGGCCAGCTGTGTTCTTCATTTTCAAGACTGCTTCCCCTTTTCAGAGCCCTTTCTATTTACAAATAAATTTCAGGATCAGCCTTTATTTACATTTCTGCTAAAACAAAGGCATCGGACATTTTAAAAGATACTGCATAAAATTTATAGTTCAATCTGAAAAATACTGACATCTAAACAATATCAAGTCCATGAACATGGGATGTCTTTATATCCAGCAGGAAATTTTAACTGCTCTCACCAATATTTTATGGATTTAAAAGTAGAAAATTGTCACATCTGATGCTCAATTGATTCCTGAGTATGTTACTCTTTCGCTAATACTGCAAGCCGAA